TCAAGACGGTAATCAAAAATTCAATATTTATATTGAAAACTTTTATTTTCTAACGGATTTGAGATTGTTTTAAACATCACAAGTAGCAAATTGTTTGTGTGAGGTGCTCTCAAATTTAAATAACTATCGCGATGTAGTGATATTTATAATGAAATCAGTGCTGTAGTGCCATTACAGATGTCAGTCCTAATTACTGCATTTCGCCGGAAAATATACACCGTAAATAATTATAATATAATATTAGGTTCCCGTCCACCGAAGCGGAGCGGAGGGGATGATTTTACTTTAGACAATTAAACTTATAATGTACCAATTATTTGTTTAATTTGAAGAGATACCCGCAGATTGATCCGTCTGCTCGTTTGCCTCCTGTCACATAAAAAAAAATGATGTGACGGCTGAAAAAATTAAGGGACGACCTTCACTAAATGATCAATTTTTTATCATTAGTTAAGATTTGCAGTTAGGAATTGAAGTAAATATATTTATTTAATTTTGATTATAATGATTATCCAGAATAATGGATTGTGAACTCTACATTACCTAGCCTTTTATTACAGTCCATGAACATGGTCTCGAACAATACAATTTAATCATCACAGTGAAATCAACATTGACAGAGAATGTTACATAACTGTGCAAATAGCTGATGTTTTTTTAAATAAGGGGGTTAAACTGTAAATCTACAAAATCGCTCTGCTTTGGTGGAGGCGGCCTTAATTACGAAAATAATTGCCATAGACATAATTTCGAAAAGTATGCGCCTAGTTAGACTTTTATAGGTTTTTCTGAATTCCTCTCCGCTAGGACGCGGCACGCACGGGGAATTGTTTCCGAGAAGCGGATTAGAAATGATGATAATGCCCTTCAGTGATTACAAAGGTAATTGTAACATTCGGAATGATGCGATTATTGAATCGAATCACTAGCTCTAGGTATACAATCGTAACCAACTAGCGTTTTGTTAAGTGGGACAAAGACAGTTACTGTTTTAAAATTACGTTTCAGAAATTCTGCAAATGTCGAGTGAAAAATGTATTTTCTTCATTATAGACATACCTATTACCTCTCTGTTGGAACTCCTGTAACATTGCGAAGTGAAGAAATGAATATGAAGACACAATATTGAAACACGATGTTAGAAACCTTTAGCAGTTCATAATGCCTGACACTAGGGCCGTGGTCATGGGTTTTACTACCCACACCAAAATAGAATACGAAGTTAACATAATCAAACACTTAAACGATTTCCCTAGTTATTTCAAATTCACGAAAAATTTGGGTATCTAACGGTATAATATCAAGTGTCATACAGTTGCCAGAACATTAGTCTTCTTTATATTTTTTCCTCATAAGTATTTATTGCAACTACATACGAAACCGGAGTGTTAAGCTTAGCAAGGTATCCCGCTGTCGGTACCTACTCAGTCTCGGAACAACTATTTATGTGTCAATTTCTTATTCTTCGGCCTATTCTTTAACACAATCGGCTTTTCATTCTGTTGTTAAAACAACACATAAACAATATTAATGAGCCTATCATTAAAGTCGGGAGGTAAAATCAATTACTACTATTTGTTTTGATCCATTTATTTCTACATTTCAAATATTATTTGACATTTATACGCATATTTCAGTCAGAAAACATCGGCATTTTGTGTTTGGACATGTCATTAATGTGTATTTATTGAATATATTCTCCGAATAGCTTTAGAGAATGATTTGAGGATTTATAAAATAATGCATTTACAATTGAATGATCAAACGAACTTACCAAGTGAAGTTCGATCTAAATTATCCTGTTTTCGCCGAAGAGATTTATTTTACCATGTAGTACCCCTGTACGACAACCCAATCCGCACACAATATTCAGCGTAGTAGTATTAAAAAACAAAAGAGCGGGCAACCCCACCCCTACCACGCTGTGGGCTCGGTGTCCGAGCGGTCTCATTATATTTAGAGAAGAGATGACATTGACGTTTACCTCCAGGGAAGAAGATATAGAAATCTTCGGGTTGGGAGGGACCTTAAATCTCTTCGGCGAAAACAGGATAATTTAGATCGAACTTCACTTGGTAAGTTCGTTTGATCATTCAATTTGTTGGGTCTAATTCTCGTCACTACACTGCACAACTTAAAATAATTACGTTTTTTGTCGGTAAAAACGTCCTGGTGACGTCACTTAAGCATTTTTCTTATACTGCGTGCGGTCGTTGCGCGTGCGCACAAAGGAATGAGACCGCTCGGACACCGAGCCCACAGCGTGGTAGGGGTGGGGTTGCCCGCTCTTTTGTTTTTTAATACTACTACGCTGAATATTGTGTGCGGATTGGGTTGTCGTACAGGGGTACTACATGGTAAAATAAATCTCGGAGGCGAAAGCAGGATAATACAAACCAATTCGCCGAACTCATAAATGAATTAAACTAAAATATAAACCAAGTAGAAATACGAGTAAAAGTAGGCGGTTAAATTAATACGATTAACTTTATTCTCAATTATTGTTTCATTTGCCTCAAATGTAGGCCGAATTGTTTGGTTAGATTTGATGTGCAAAAGTTTGATAACTATTTTATTTACGCCTCTTTTAGTAATTTAATACTTTTATTCATGCTTCAATAAAAGTGTTTAAAAGGAACATAAAAATTCGATAGTCAACTGTCAACTTTGTAATGCAATTTTGTTTGTGATTTCACTTATTTTTTGGTGTACCTACTTATGTTTATGAGTAGGTACTATACTCAAAGACATCTATTTATAGTTTATGTGCTAACATAGTGTGTGAATGTAATAGAAAGCCTAGCATTTTTCTATTGGACTGCCTCAAATATTAAATACGAAATAATCCATTCCATTATTCCGAGGGCAGCGGGCGATCGCGATAGTACGGGGACCACAGGCACAGCGCACGTATCTCCCATCAGTTCTTAATTACCACTGGCCAGTTGGCATTTTTAGACATTTCATTATTCTATTTTTGATGTGCGTTCCTTTTTTGAAGTTTGAATTTATTTTATACAAAAAAGTTCCTGTTTCGTTCTGACCACTTAAATAATGGTGTAATTTGAACCAGTAAATTGTACAATGTGTTTTCATAAATCTAACCGTAACTTAACTAACAATGCTTGCATCGCACTGACGATTTTGTTTTTCACAAACTATTGCAGTGATCGAATGAATGAAATTAATTGACTTCGTTTTTGTTTTTATTTTAAATACTGGAATTTATTTTAAATGCTAAAAAATATTATTATAATTTGATGATGATTGACCGAGATGACTAAAAAAAGAAAATGAAGCAGGGGCAAAATTGCACAAATAAGGAGACTTCTTAACTCAGAGAATTCATGACTAAAAAAACCGTACACCATCCATTTGTTTCTTACAAGCGTTAGAATCAACATTGCACAATACACGAGCATTTCTCAACCAGACTGATAAAAGATCAATTGAAAAACTTAACGTGGAATACTTAATTTAGTCATTGAAATTCACACGCTATGCTCCGGGAAATTATGGATTTGCTCGTTGAACACTATACATGAGAATTGAGCACTTCACATTAGCCCATTCAAAACGTATGAGACAAATTAAAATAACTTAACACGCATATTATGAAGCAATAATTAAAGGTCTAAGGTAATGAATAGTTAAAAATGCTTAACTATACATAAATTAATATTAATCAGGAAAAAATCATGGATTTTAACAGCGTTGAAATTACTGATTTGAGCTTTTAATTAAATTAAATTTATTGTAAGCGAATCAATGGACCGGAAAAAATGCAAAATTAATTTTACGGGTCAAAATTATTGCTTATATTAGCGAAAAAAATTATGTAAGTTAATGAGAAGAAAAAGCTAACAGAAATTATAGTGCGCATCACAAATTATGCATGCGGTTACCAATTATCGCACGATGTACGCTCTGACGTGCCCACGCTATGGCGGCGTGCCTCATGGGATGAGGCTTCCGGCGACTGGGACCGCAATTAACTGGGACCGCGGTCCCAGTCGCCGGATGCGTAAAAATTAAACAATTTTCTTCCGGCGACTGGGACCACTCATGGATTTTAGTACTGTACCGATTTTGGATTGAATAATATTTTCTTTAAAGTTATCTATGAGTGGTCCCAGTCGCCGGAAGAAAATTGTCCACTCATGGATTTTAGTACTGTACCGATTTTGGATTGAATAATATTTTCTTTAAAGTTATCTATGAGTGGTCCCAGTCGCCGGAAGAAAATTGTTTAATTTTTACGCATCCGGCGACTGGGACCGCGGTCCCAGTTAATTGCGGTCCCAGTCGCCGGAAGCCTCCATGGGATACCCTCATCTGATTCAATGTCGAACTTTGATAGCAACAAATAAAAAGTTATCCTATGAGAGAGATGCCTAAATTGTTGCTGAAGCTCGATTCCAATCCAAGTATTCCAAAAAAATCACTATTTAGTTAAAGCAATCAATCAATGTTTCAATATTAATGGAAATGGATCTAATATTATTTGATAGCTCTAAAATAATTAAAACATTTTCATATAACGAAGTATTTCCTAAAATGGAGGAAAGAAACCTGTTCTAGTGATAGCAATAGACGACCGGTCACATGATTTACTTTAGTTCATATTGTAATTGTCACAATATACCTATTATGTAGTTTATATTGGCGTGTTAGTTTGTATAGTATAAAAGCGTATCTCTTAATCTTACTTGTGTTTATTTATAAGGCAGAACGCATCAATTATAAATAAATATCCTTGGACATTTTACACTGCGCTTCTAGTCCCAAACTAAGCAAAGCTTGTACTATGGGTACTAGACAACGGATATAAACATACTTAAATACTTTTTTTTTGTAAATACATACATATTATACAGAAAACACCCAGTCCAATACAAACAAATATGTTCATGCACACAAATGTTTGTACTGTGCGGGAATCGAACGGTACACCAAACGGTCGATATTATTATTAACCAACCTTCTCTCTTCTGCCCCAGGCTATACGGTTCAAAACGGTGCGCCCGATGCAACACGACCATCTCGGCTTCGGAGATGGTGATGCGCGCGCGAGATCTGGTGTTCCACGTGCACTGCTTCTCTTGCACGCTCTGCAATGCTCCCCTGACCAAGGGCGACACCTTCGGCATCAGGGATTCAGCAGTATACTGCAGGTAAGACTAAAAAGGTTTATAATATCTTGATAAAATCGAACTGGCCTGTTTAAGGCCAGGCGCGGATCCAGCCCTCAAAAAAGGTTGTGGGCACAGCCACTAAAAATTAGCAAAGTGGGAGTTGGATTGGAGTACGAACTCACGCTCAATCACGCTCGATTTTTTAAAGGCTCATCATCAGTCAGCCGTTTTTATCATCAGCCTATCGATTTTATCAATAGATCATAATTAAAACAAGAAAATTAGGGTTGTGGGCATGCCCACAGTGCCCACAACGGTGGATCCGCGCCTGTTTAAGGCGGGTTTTAGAATCGCGCTGATCGCTCGCTGATCGTCGGCGCTGACAGATCAATATGTATGTAATTGAAGGGAACGTTCCTGAGTGACACTGATCGCTCGGCGCCGACGCTTCATACATTTCGGCTGTCAGCGCTGACGGTCAGCGTGCGTCAGCGTGACTCTAAAACCAGCCTAAGGGTAGGTATACCCAACATTGATGAAACAAACGCTGGCCGTAACAGCGTATTACACTTGAAAATTTCGACGGGTTCATCCAGTGTCTAAGTAGCTGAGATGAAAGAGCAGTCGCCCGGCAAGCGAAAGGTCGTGGGTTCGATTCCCGCCTTAGGCAGTTCGATTTTTTCAAGTTATTTATATTATAATTTAGTTTGCGATGCAACTCTTAACGCTAAAAAAATAACTATCTAAAAAGGATTCTTTTTAACCTAATGCCGTCCAAAGGTCGCACAGATTTCCACAAACGGTCCTCCGCTGTCTGCATCCAGGTGCTTCCCGCGACCTTCACCAGATCGTGGATTCACCGAGTAGATGCCCACTCACGAAGGGTTCACTCATGAATATTCTCTCTGAAGATTCGTGAGTCTTTGTTTTAAATCGTTTAAAGTTGAGCATTAATTAAGTGAGATTATGGGAGCCAAAGAGCATGTAAGTTCATTGGATTATTGTCAATTAGCCAAACAGCCATTTCATCATACTTTTGTAAGTTTTATATCGAGTAATTACGCCAGAAATATGTATAAACAAGTCCGAGTCAATTTGTCTTCAAATGTTTGTCTGCTTGTTGACGAAATAAAAATGTATTTTTTTATTTAAACATGTATCATTGATTAATTCTGTGATGAATAGACTTTATGGCAAATGAAAATAATCCAGTTAATTTTGTAACCCAGTTTACTCTTTGTTTTGCACGGTAAAGTTGCAAACTGAAAACATCCTTCTAATTTTTTCGTTTCGAATTCGTTTAAATATTCATGTTCACTCGTGTTCAGCAGCATTTAACGAGGTCACGTATAGTCTTTTTTGATTATTTACTACTGAATTGTCATTGTCAGAAAGACCGTTTAAAGTTGTCGAAGTCCAAACTTGTAGAGACACGACGCATTGGAACGTACTATCTATTTGACATTTTGCCTCAAATGTCATCAAGTACCGTCTATACAGGTACACCGTCCAGCACTGGTCATTGACATATAGATTGCCTTTTCATTTAGTAGGATTCATTGCAATAAGCAAGCCGAGTAACATGACATGATCATGAAAATTGAGACTTGAATTTGACACTTAGGTTAAGAACTTAAGAAGCAAAATGAACTCAACTTCTTAACTCGATGTAGGTACCTATTTAGATTTTCAGACTAAGGTCGACTTCAAGGGCAGCTATTATTAATAAGGTATTTTTTATACCCGATGGTATCATAGATAAGGCGAAAACGTTTGCTTTAACATGCAATTCCTTTATTGAAGTCAACAGCGTGAAAACAAAAACTTTAATGAAGTCAGTTAGTTTTTATGCATTTCTGCTCATTATCCTTTCTTGTGCTTCTGTAATTACTTGTATTGTGGGGTTTTAATGAGACATATTATTGATATATTATTAATATTTTTTACACCTGATTATATTGAGATTAATGTCCTTTTGGTGTTTCGTTCGTTTGAAAGATATTCGTAAATATTGTTTTAACGATCTGATGTCACATTGAGTGAGGCACATGTCACTGCGAGCACATGTCTGCATAATTTCGGATAAACTGATACTTTAGCAGCTTTCCAAATAATATTGATGTAACTTATAGACTTACCGCAACACATTGCTCTTGAGATGTCAAATCGTCTCGCTTAGTCGAACTAACTGCTAATAGTCAATCAATCGATCTGTATAACGTTTTCTGGGTGCTCTATGTAATATTAATCCATTTGAACATCATCCAGTCGACAGTATTGTCTTGATTAAAGCAGGATTATTGGCAGAATTGCTTTAGGGATCGTCTTTGTCTGGAATTCTGGATTGATTGGTGTACGCTGTTAATCCCATTGAAAGCATTAGCGAACTTTTAGACCAAAAATTAGCACCGACCTCGGACGCAATGAAGAACTCACGTAGTATTTTAATAAAAGAAGTCAAAGGCTTAATTACCGCAGAAATGGGCAAGATGGTCAACGAACTGAAAGAAGAGTTCACCAAAACAACGGACTTCATTATGGAGGAGGTGAAAAGTTTAAAATCCACCATCGCTCAGAAGGACACCGTAATTAAATCATTACAGAGCGAGCAAACGGTGCTTAAGGACGAATTACACAAAATCCGGAACCGTGTCTCTGTAATGGAGAAATTGTCACGTGACCGCAACGTCGAGCTCCAGGCTGTTCCCGAGAACCGAAACGAAAACGTTGTATCAATGGTCAAATCCTTATGTGAANTTTTAATTAAATTTCTTGCGACTTGTTACTTAATTACTTGCGACGAATATATATTTTTACATACCAATATTTATCAATGTGTGTGTGGACTGGATCATTTAATACAACACTTGATCTTGCCAAACATATTATCATGGGGCAGTATAGGATTCTGGTCAGGTGTCTATATAAATTTCTATATAAATTTCTTTACTGTTATTAACTTGATAGTTTAAGCAAAATTCGTTAATGCTGTGGATAACCTTTTTGGCCTAATTAGTTTAAGAAAAATATTTGATTTAAGTCTATTATATGTGTCGGCTGTTGTTATTCCAAATAAATAAAATAAAATAAATAAATAAACTGTAGAGCCGTGTATAGCGAAATCATACCTCTAGAGAGCATACGTGTACAGATTGGGTAAACCTATTACCTAACTTGATGTTAGATTTATGTACGGTTATATTCAGCCTCCCATGTACATAAGTGTCAATTATCGTTGATACCTTAAACGTTACAAATTCGTAATAGGTCGTCTCGTACCATAATGGCAAAACACTCTTTTGTTTCAAACGGAAGATGAGGACTCCGTACAATTTTGGATAGCGAATGATCTGAAGACTGTGCAAGCATTTGTGTATATGTAGAGTTAAAAAGTATGCATTTGTTTAATTTCTTTTCTTGTATCCATAGGCTGCATTACGACACCATGCCGGAGTACGGGCCCCACATGGCCGTGCCGGGGCCGCCCCAGATGTGCCCCGGCCCGTACGCGGGGCCCCCGCCCGGGCCCCACTACCCCCCCTACCCCTCGCCGGAGTTCTCCCGGGTGGAGGCGGATGTCCCCAAAGGCCCCTTCTTCAACGGGGCCGCGGCGCCCCCTCCTCGGCAGAAAGGCCGGCCCAGGAAAAAGAAGCCCAAAGACCAAGAAATTATGACAGCGAATCTTGGTGAGTGTATCCATAAGCCGTTGCGACTGTTATTTTGAATACGAACGCGCTACGTTCCGTTTTTAAAATCGAATTTTCGGAATAAGAATAGAGTCAAAATATTTACACACAAAAGCGTGTATCATAAATTCATAATGACAAATGATGAAAGAAGGGTTAACGACAGAGAATAGGAGGGTTGTTTACTTAAACGTAGAGTCTACTTCAAGCGCAATCTAAGAGCAAAAAGATAGTGCAAAAACAAGACTGACAGGAATTCTAAACACTCAGTAATCGTGCTACAATTGCGTGTATCAGTAGTTACAATGTATTTAGCGTCATAATCCGACGATTTATCCGAACGCGTCGAAAGGGCCTGTCGTCCGCCGCCATTTTGTGCTCAAATTTAATATTGATACAAACCCGAGCCCCGTTTCGCCGACAAAACGGTTACAATTTTATTAACACATTAAAGTCAAAACTGCACTTACCTTCGCCAGATTATCAGCGGCGACTTCCCGTGTGTTTTTTAAAACGTACTTTTTACTTTTTTCGAGATATCAGAACCAGTCTGATTATCGGGCCAGCCGCTCGGTTGCTCGCACGGTGCACCTTCAAGAGAATTCCATCTCAAATTTGAAATTAGAACGTTGCGTGTTACCCGATAAACGGCAAAAACCAGACGCGAAAAGAAACGGCCGGTCTTTTTTAAATAACATCTGACAATCGCATTTTTAAAACCAGCAAAAGTGCAGCCAACGAAATACACAACACATTGAATTATATGAAATCGAATCCAAAGATAATGCGAATGGGAGCAACTTTTTTGCACTCATTACATACTTAATGGAGCAGAGGAATTAATTGAAACGCATAAAAATTGTTCTGTACATGGTTGAACAGCTGCTTAACTGAGTTATTAAAGTCCTCTTGCTATCGATGCCGGATGGGTTCTTGGAAGGTATTCATTTGTTTTTTAAGGATAGGGGTGTGAAATGGTGAAGGAATCTTTTGGTGGGGAGGTCGTGAGCGGAGTGGTCGGAAATGCGCAAAAACCGGTTTCTGGCGTGACGTGGTCGCGTGTGGAAGGACCGCAAGTTCATCAGACCGCCATTCAATGACCGGCCAGCTTACCGCCAAGGTTGCCTATTGCGGAATAGGCCGGTGTGTACCGTTTTCGCTTTCTTTGCCCAATAACCGTCAATTTTTATTAGAGTAAAAAAAATGTCACTAACCATTCAGCTAAGTTATTTCATTGGTTGATTTTCACATAATTAATTGTGGATAATTTTTCACAAACAAAAATCAAATAACCACACTATCTATTATTTTTTAGTGTTTCTTAGGTCTTATTGAGAAATGATGTAATAAAATAAAATAATGTATTTACCAACATTGTGTTTTCCATGAAAAACTTCGGGGAACATTCTATTTATTCTTCCTTTATCTCTGTTATTGTTTATCTCTATACCTACCAATTACTTACGTTGATTTATTACAAATAAGTAAAAAACGCTCTTTAAAAAAACGCCAATTAAAAATTAAAAGAAAGTAAATAAAATACTTCTAACTTTTACATGCATTTTTGAACACTATAAATGTAAAGACTTTTTTTTTCGGACTCTAAAAAGGCTTTGGCTTTCTACGAATAAATGATAAATGTTGAAAATTAAACATAATCGCGTATTATTTTAAAAATAATGCCATGACCAGCCCTAGATGATTATAATTAATGTTAAGTATATGTAATGCTACGAGTAAGAGCTTTCGTGTCGTCTAAAAACTTTCGCGCAAAATAATCAGTTGCCAGCTCAATTTGAATTTTGTAATATTATTGCTTGTTCTGTAATTAAATTAGATGGAAATTAATTTTTTACGTCTGGCAACGTCACGTCATACTTTCCATTTATAATGAAGTCTGTGGTTCGTTTTAAGAATAGGCAACACTTGTTTATTTTTATTATTGCCTTTGCCACTAGTTTTAGCGCCTTTGGTTATTAATTAATACACGATGATGTTTTAATCAAGAGCTATGCGTGTCTTTACAAATTTTATGTAATTTTTTTGTGTTTATGTAAATAAGTCTGTAAGGGTCAATCTCTGGAATTATTTGTTGGATTCTAAAAGTACCTAAAGGATTATTGTTTCTCCATAATATGAGACTTCTTATTTATTGAAACGGCATATAGGACTGGGTTTAAGCTACATGGCATAAATAATTTGATATAAAATATACGAAAATTGTGCTCGGCTTGAGTCCAATATTGACCGTATCTAATTCTGCTTTAAAAATTATAGGAATAAATTAGTCGAAATATCTGCCAACTAGTTGGATTAAGATTTAGTTTGGAAATCGAGAATGATGATTGATCAATATTACTGTACTCGTATTTTGAATAACCAATTATTCGTGGTAAAATTTTAGCGAAATAAACTCGTTATACTTTATTTTATACTTGTTCCTAAAATTATTATTAGCGGAAATCACATAAATGATTTTCGCAGCCAAATAAACAACATCTTAGGGTGGGTTGCACCATCTTACTTTAACTTTGACAAAGGTCAAAAATCTGTCAAACTCCATACAAAAAGCACCGGTTATCGTCATATTTACGGTCAAAGTTAGGTGGTGCAACTCAGCCTTAGTGTTTACATTGCTTTGAGGTACTCGTAACTGTTAGTATTTGTTATACGTTGAAAAAGTACAATTTATTACACGCAAAAACTAAGTCTAACAAATCACAGCGAATGTATCTCTGCTCAATTTTATTCTATACGTTCGTGGTTCCGTTCAGGGTACACGATAAAACAATCAGTCCATAGCTTTTTGTTTGCGAAGAAAACGACTTTTTGTTACGCACCCGATTGAAAAAAGACAAGAGTGTCCACTCAGTGCGAGCAGGATTCCGTAGGTAATTATTTCTGTCATGTCCCTGGGTTGTGTGGAAGAGATCGCTTCCTAGCAATAAGTCCGCCTTGACCCGTTTAGATATTACGCTCTTTTTGCGAAAATTTCTGTCACGAAAAATGAAACAAAGGATTTATAAGCATTGAATATAATAAGTATGCTATGGTTTTTTTTTGCGATACTTACTTATTATGAAATTATTGATAGATATTTATGATTTAAGAAACTAAAATCTAATTTATTTAAATTTAGGCACAACTCAATCATAAATATGAATAAGCTAAAAAAAGGGAAAGCAAAGGTCGTAGCTCAGGGTTCGTTGTGTAGGCAAATAAAAAACGGACAGACAGAAACACGGATAATTATTACTTGTCCAACTTCGGGACCCTAAAAATAAAGTTCTAAAATCAAGACAGAAGCTAAATTTTTTTCCGTATCATTATGTATATTAGCAGTAGTGATGAGCGGTATCGCTGTAGTAATTATTATTAGTTATGATGATTATTAAATCATTAGGAGCTGTGACTTATATCGCATGACCAGTCCATTGAGAATATTATTACCACCACGAATTTTATGAATAATGAAATCATTTGGCGACATTAACTTGAAATAAAAGCAGGTGTATTTATAAAAAAGAGACTGTATGTATGCATACCTCTTTTTATGTTTTGTGTTGGCATTTATATTTTTTTAGTTTTGAACTCTTCTTCACACCTTGTACGTCTTCTGGGTAGGCACACATTTATAATGAGGTTTAATAATAATACACTCAGTTTTGTTCCCTGTTTATTATTGTATAATCAGTAATCGTTTCTTAAAATAGCATAAAACAACGTTGTTTCCGCGTGTATTCGCCACGTTCACTCTATCTGAATACTTAATGGATTTCGATGTGGTTATCAATAACATGCAGATGTTTTGTAAACATGCAAGACGCTGTTAAAATACAATTTAAACTAGCCATTATTACCACGACCACTAGCAGCGTACTTAAAAAATAATTATAGCCTTCAATATCTTTAGTTCATCTGTAGTATCTGTTCCAAATCACAGTTCCATAAATTGATCTGTTCCCGCACTAGAGATCGCGTGACTGCGCGGTTTAATCTCAGGTTTATTCTGCATGCCACTAATGTGTTGAAATTGCTTAGTTAGAGCCATCCATTGTAGTGATGAGGGTTGCTCACTTTACCAATATCGTACGCAATCGTTAAGACATCTGTAGATTAATTTAGGACATAGGAGGGTTGCATTGAGCTATAATAATAACAATAAGGTAGTACCTACTTGTAAAAGTACGAACATATATTATTAAAAAAGCTTGTTACCTAAATATAGGTAGGTATATAAATATTTTAGGGCTGGAAGACGTAGCGTGGGCAGGCCTTCTACTAGGTGGACCGACGATCTGGTAAAGGTCGCGGGAAGAGCCTGGATGCGGGCGGCCGTGCATTGTGGAAAACCTTGGAGAAGGCCTTTGTCCAGCAGTGGACGTCATCTGGCTGAAACGAACGAATGAACGATATAAATATTATAATAATCTTCATCATCATCATCATCATTTCAGCCACAGGACGTCCACTGCTGAACATAGGCCTCCCCCAATGACTTCCACATCGCACGGTTGGTAGCGGCCTGCATAAACCTGCGATGACCTGATAAAGGTAGCGGGAAGGCGCTGGATGCAGGCCGCTACCAACCATAATAATCTTAAATAAGGAATATTATTATTATACGGTATCCAAAGTTGAGGGTTAATTGAACGCGTGACCGTGATACGCAAACCACGAGTTTAGGCAGCCGTTAGTATTTAAAAGCTCCGTGTAGAAAATTTTAAAGAAAAATTTACAATATTTAGCAAGATATCGCCTTAATACTATAAAATTGGCAACCCTAACCATAAAGTAAAGAAGGTCGTCGATGAATGGGGTGTCATAGATTAATATGCGCAAAAAGTATGATGCATGATAGAGATCGTCTGTTTAACCGCTGCTGAGAAAGTAAGTACCAACATTGTTGCGATTCTTTAGTATGCAGCAGGAACTAGTGTTCGCTGAAGCGCAAAGGTCAAACCATAAATAAATCTATTTAAATATTATACATAATTGTA